ACTATCTACAGATTTGCATCGAAGCGTTTCTTATGATAGTGATTTTAATCACTGTCAGATTAAATCTATACTGGACCCAACTATGCCACGTCCCCACTGTGCTGGTTTTTTTTTATGACCTTCTCACTTTTATGGCTATTTCAATATAAAAAATTTAAAAAATAGCCAGAACCTTAAAAAACAAATAGATTATTCAATATTGACTTAATCGATTAAAATTTTAGATTTAATCTTATTATAACTTAAAATTTACAAAAACATTATGTGAAAATATTGAGTTTTAATGACTTTCTAAAATTGGTGATTTTTTTTTTTGTAAAAATTGGCGTTATGAGCTCACTTATAACTATTAAGAAGTTATTATTTTGTAGTTATTATTTTATGTCATAACTGTTTTACATGAATTAATGATGGTATCTTGGCTAGATGGACTTCTATATTTTTTGTGTACACCAGGACCTTCGAGANATATATATATAACTATTTTACTAATATACTATAAGTGTTATATATGTACTTGTCTAATTTTGAAATTATAATGTTTTGTACGGTGTTAGCCATGGTACGTGCAGAAAAATTAAGTACATTAACTAAAAATTTTTCTCTTGATAAATTTATTAAATAGTCTAAGACTATAGCTGATTTTCCTGTTCCAGTTGGTCCAACAAAAAGTAGAGGAATTTCGTATTTCAATAATATGTTAAGAAAATACTGTTGCTTTACTGTTTCATCCGTTCCAATAATAAGTTCATTTATCTACGATAAGAATGTCACATTATTTTAAACAAACTAGAAAAAAATTGTATTTTTGTATGTTTTACATTAATATACCTATTAAAAAATATAATAGTAGTTTAATATGTGTATAATAAAATGTCGCCAAAAATAATGAAATTTATATCAGAGTGCTAGCATTAAAATAAAAAACTACAATGAAAAAAATTATATCTCAATTGAGAATGAAAAACCCGTGCTAAAGTTTGAATTTGAGTACTTTTTTTTCTAGGAAAATCTTTTATTAATATCAATATCTTTCTAAATACAGTAAAAGTTTAACATTATATTCTATGTCAATTAGATTTATATAATATTCATGAAAATCAGGGTACCCCCTTATAAGGTATTTTAAATTAAATTAAAATACAATACCAAAAATTTTAATACAAAAATAGCATGTTTTGTAACTACGGCAACCATTTGCACATAGAAGATAAGTCGTCGGGACAAATTTTTTTTTTTTTTTGATTTTATAGTACATAGCATGAAATTTATTTTAACATATGTTTGAAACATAAATTGAAAAAGTTAAATTTTTGTGCAAAAGTTGCTATTTTGAATACCCCCCTGTGGGCAGGTAAAGGGTCAGATTCTCAACAAATTTATATCAAATGAAAGGTAAATATTTAAGGTTTTAATGTAAAAAAGAATTATTTATTTTATTTATTTTTCAATATGTTATGGCAATATTCAGAAAAAAAATACAGTACAAATCTGGAAATTCGATATTTAAGAATTAATCATTTTAACTTCGATGCGAAGCTAAGAAGGAATTAATTTTACCATGATGTGTTTTCTTTTTGTGTCTCTTACGTCTTTTTCACAACTCTAACAGGATTGATTTTGATGAAATATATTCAAAAGATCACAAATCGTATCTAGTCGAAGACATTACCCTCAAAAATTGAAAAAATTTCACTCGTTCCCCGTAAATGGGGGAAATTTCCAACAAAATTACAATTTTTAAATTCGATTAATTTCGTCATTTTTTTCACTTTTTTTCTGAAAAAATACTATAACTTTTTCAAAAATTAACAAATCAACTTAATTATTTGTCATATTGGAAGTTTAGATATTTTTCTTTTCATTTTATATCATATTTTTGAAAATCTAACACTTAACTTGCTCATAGGGAGGGATTTAAAATAGCAACTATTCTTTTATTATAAACTTTCACAAAAAAGTAGGTTAAAAATATTTACTTTTAACATATTAAAAATCAAAATCAATAATAATTTGAAAACAATTAATAATATAATATATAATTAAAAAATTATTTATTGTCACAGTCGGATTGCATTTCCGGTGTTACCGCCGGATGGCGATCGCGGCGCTTCCTCTTCTCGTCTGACAGGTCGCGCTATACCGGTCGCTTAGGCGCAAATAAACATAGACTGAAAAATTAAACTTCTTATGTCAACGGTCACCGTTATTTTATTAGAAGTAACGTACTTAAAAAAATATCTATTTATCTTAAAATCTATATAGCTAAACTATTATTAATATTAAATAATATTGTTTGTCTGTGTAATAAACGCGTCCAGTATTATTACGTAATTATTATAATACTTATACCTAATTACCCTGACTACAGCAATATTATATTTTTGATTTAAGAATTACTAATATGGATGTAATTAAGGAAATAGAAGTTGATGTTGCTTTTGTAATTATTCACCAATTTCTTAGAATTAAACACTATCTAAAGATTTGCATCGAAGCGTTTCTTATGATAGTGATTTTAATCACTGTCAGATTAAACCTATACTGGACCCTATTATGCCACGTCCCCACTATACTGAACCCTGCTGTGCTGGGTTTTTTTAGTTCCTATGTGAAGATGAAAAGTATTAATTTTATTACGATGCGTATCTCTCACCGGACAGATTTCTTTCTATAAAAAGTCGAAAGATTACAAATCGTATCTAATTGAAGACATACCCTTAAAATTTTTAAAAATTTCTAAACCTTTTACAAATAAATATGCTAATGTCAAATCAATTGATGACTGTAATAAGATTCAAAGTGACCTTAATAATTTAAGTACCTGGTGTTTTAATAATGGGTTAATACTGAATACATCTAAATGTGCAAAAATTTCTTTCTACAGTTCTCATAACCGTCTAAATTATATGTATTACATTAATGATAAGTGTTTTAAAGAAGTTGACAACATACATGATCTTGGAATTACATTTCAGACTAACCTTTCTTTTTCTTTACATATTGAAAAGCTTTTTTATTGCATCTTATATATTTCCATGTTCCTCAATACCCGTCTCGTTCTTGTCCCACATTTTCAATAATGTTTCACCACACTTTGTATGGATATAATAACCCCCTAGATTGCATCGCTAGAGAATGCAATATATTAAATAATATTGATCTATTTGATTTTAAAAGTCTGTCATGCTTAATGTAATTACTTTTTCTACTTTATCTGTTTTCTCTTAAGCAAAATATTATGACTTGTTATTTATAAACTGTTGTTATAATTTTGTGTTATTTTATATTTAATTAGTAATTTTGAGTAATGATATATATCTAGTGTTAATATTGTTATCTAATTATTATATTATATACTGTACTTGAACCCAAATCGGGCGTTAACTTCAAATAAATAAATAATTAAATTTTCCTCGTTTTCTGTAAATGGAGGCAATCCCCAAAATATTACAATTTTTATAATCTGTAAGTAGGGTAAAATAGAGAACTGGTCCCCTCTAGCCAACCCACTCGCCTACCTCTCTGTTTGTTATAAGGAGATGTGTTCGGGGAGTATTAAATACAGCGTAAACTAACCTAATGCAATGGGAGAGATGAGAATGAAACCTAAAATAAACTAACAACGTTTTCTATGAATTTTATCATCGACTACCAAACGATTAGGTAAGCATATTTCCAACTTCAAAGGTATCACCGTACAGTAACAATCACTGTCGTATACATTTTATGAGAAAAATGACACCACTGGTGTTGTTTCACGTTAACGCATTTTATTCTTTACTATATAACCGGTTCAACACTTCTTATTCTGTCACATTTGTTTTCAGTGGCCTATTTTGGGGGGTGTCCACCATGTCTGGACACCCCTCGACTTAAAAAAAAAAGATGCCTAATTTTTTTATAATATATTGTATTTATTTACTATAAAATATATGGTATTTTAAATAAATGACAAAAATGAAGTTAATTTGATAAGATTTGACGACACAAAGATATCTAGAAATTATTTGATTTCACTGGGACATTTAGATAACAAAAATACCCGGAAATATTTTGAACTTGTAGCTTATTTTTAGATCTATTTGATAGTTTATCAGTTTAGAGAATTATACATTTGAATAATACTATTATTTGACATTTATTTTTTCCTCGAAAGTTGAGTGTACAGCTAAAGCGTGCCATAAATTAAGTACTAAGTACCTACCTATTTATTCAAATAAAATAAATAATTAAAATATGAACCAGTTATAGGAATTTTATTAGAAATTACGAATCATTGTGTAATAAACTATAACACAATTTTAATTTTATTTAAATATTTTAAAATAATTCTACAAAATGCAAAATAAACCAGTTATATCTTAACTAAGTTATTACGCGTTACAAAAAAAATAAAATTTAACAAGCTATTTATAACTGAGTTAGTAAAAGTTCATTTTATTTTATAATTTTGTTCAGTATTATACTTTAGTTAGCTATTCCAAATAGTATTAATATACAAAAAAAATATTTAACGAAACTAGTAATTTTCATTTGTTTCCTATTAGCTGCGCTGTCTTTTTATACATTATACTAGTAACATAGATTTTGAAACTGAGCCTCTCTTTAAAAAATACATATCAACTACTAATATGATTAATAAACTATTAGAAAAAGAGTAAGTAATTATAATTAAATATAATATTTTTTATTGAATAGAAAAATTCGTTTAAAAAAAAACACCAAGGTCGCATAACATTTGCAAACATTACTTCACCAGCTTTGATGATCAGCCTAAAAAGCATATTCATCGAGGTAGTCAAGCGTTGAAGCAATAAACATTAATATGTGACAAGAACAAGCCTATTTTACTCGTTATGCCGGCAGAGAGCAGTAAGAATTTTACGCGTGAGTAAAGACGCAACGTTACCACCTTTCGCCATCTAAGCCAATTTTGAAGACTTACTGGAGAAAACAGACGATCGTATGGGTGCATAAACCAGGACTGTGCACACCCACCATCCTATGAGTCATTTTTATCGTGAAAACATCGGACGATGTATCCTCTGAGCTTCTCGAACGCTGTGGTATACCGCAATCGCCCGTGATATACCGTGAGTCCGAGGATCGTGAAAAGATACAAGGCATTAGTGATAGCTGTAACTGAAGTGACTCGCAACATTTCCAAATTGTTGCGTAAAACCTAAGTTTCCATCCGAATGTCTGTCGATGATGTGTGCAGACACGGGGAGAAAGTAGTATGTGACTTGTGCCGCACAGCATTTAAGGATTCCAATCCTAAAGTTGTAGACTACTGCCATTTATCGGGTCAATTCAAACAAACATTGTGCAATGTGTGTAACCTAAAGGTGAAGATGGTCAACTTTGTGCCGTGCTTTTTGCAAAATCTTTCAGGTTACGACGCACATTTAATCGTCATTGAATTGGAGTAAGACGACCAAAGAATTTCGGTCATACCGAATTCCGAGGAGAAGTATATTTCGATCAAGAAATACGTGACCAATAACTATTCCATACGGTTCATCATCACCTTCCGGTTCATCGCCTCCTTTAAAGGAGGCAATAACTTTTACGAGTGGGCTATGAGTCAGCCCATGCCGTACGGTGGCTTCCGGTGGTATGAAGGAACAGACCCTCTAACCGACCTCAATTTTCTCTTGGACACTGGTTATATATGAAGTGGACGTATCATACCCATAAGATCTGCATGACGAGCACAATGACTTGTCGTTTTTGCCTGGTAACGATATACC